TAATATCAAGGAAAAGACAATGTGTTCATTTGATGTAAATTCCTTGTTTACAAATGTACCTTTAAAAAAACCATTGATATATTATGTGATTACATATCTGAAAACAATTTTCAATCACAAGTGCCTGTAAAACTTCTTAAAGATTTACTATTACTATGTACTGACAAAGTTCAGTTCACTTTTGAAGGTGAATACTTTCGTCAGATTGATGGAGTTGCTATGGGTAGTCCGCTAGGACCATTGCTAGCAGATGTGTTCATGGCACATGTTGAAAATCAGACTGATGAACTAATCGGAAACATGTCACTTTATAAGAGATATGTGGACGATATCTTAGTTGTTCGTGAGAGAAAAGAGGATATGTACCGTTTATTAAATAAACTTAACACTCTCCAAAACCATATTAGTCTCTCATGTGAAGAGAAGAAAAACGATCAGCTTCCCTTCTTAGATATACTTCTGAGTAGACGAGAAGATGGTTCAGTCAAGCGATCTATTTTTAGAAAACCAACGTGGACAGGTCAATATCTTAGTTATTATAGTTATTGCCCTGTGCAATACAAACGTGGTTTGATAAGGTGTCTTTTCAACAGACTCGACTGTATTTGTACCAATGACGCCATTGATGATGATGTTAAGTTGTTAAATAAAATGTTAATAGAAAATGGCTATCCTCTGAAATTCATAAATAGATGCAAGGTCCATGGTACAACGAGACCCACTGTAGCCTCGGCAGAGAAAAAGCCTGTCTACATCACCTTACCATTCAAAGGTGATTCAAATAGCCTTTTATTGAAACAACGACTTAAATCAGTCATCAATAAAACCGATTGCACAGCAAAGGTCATCATCAAAGAAAGAACAAGGTGCATGCTTTATTCAAAACCTAAAGTACACGGAAACGATTGCGTCACATCCCACTGTGTTTACCAAGTTAAATGTGTGTATGGTCACACATACATAAGGAGGAGTAATCGTGATCTCAACATTAGGGTGAGTGAACATGTATCCAAATAGCTTCAGAAAAAAGTACAATCAAGTGACATAATAAGAGCAGAGGATAAACATCCATCATCCTCTATTGCTAAACATATAATTGAAACAGGTCACAAGATTGATCAAAATTCAGCTTTTGTAGTGCTGTATAAAAGTGTAAAAGGGCGTATATTAAGGTTTATTGAAGCCTTAGCTATACGAAAATTCAAACCCCCTTTGTGTATTCAAAAACAGTTTGTTCTCACCTCAAACCTACCCTGATAATATTGACTTAATATCCAGAGTGATTAGGTTTCAAATTGTGTTCACATTATTATTATTATTACTCTTATCATTATCCTTATCTTCTCTTACCCCGTTTCCTGTCTATTTGACCTTTTATTTTTTATATATAAATGCTCTTAACAAGTATATGTGTGATCAGATTGTTCGAAATGTATTGCGCTAATATATCACATAGTTCTGATAATCTTCGTCTTCTAATATCATTATCGAAATTTATCAAAGGGACTAATTGTTTTAAATCAAACGTTGTTTTTAGGTCTTGTATGTTTTTCTTCCAGTCTGACAGACCTTGTACTACCGGATTTTTATCGATTAATTAGAATTGAACTCCTTTACACCAAGTGTCAAAATTTTTCAAATTTAATTGGTCATTTAATATTTATCAATATACTGATTAAATGTTTATTCGCTAAATGTAAACATTTGTTAGGAGAAAAACGTAACTACTAAACAGATATGTATATTATCACATTTGATTTAATCGACAAATTATCCATCTGTGGTTAACTAATTCCTCATTTGTTGTTTGCTACATTTGGTCGATATAGAAACAGGATTTTGGTTGTTTTGTGTTTTATGGACTGGGTGGTTTGATTGTAGTTCTGGATGACTTCATGAGCGCGTAATTCACATAGAAGTAAACTATCTAG